TTCAGTAAGGAATTTTTTCATTTTTATATACGCAAAACTAGAAAAATTACTATAGTTACTAGGTTAACAATAGAAATAAAATCCACCCCTTTTTCCTTTTGTTGTTAAGTAATCCACCCCCCGTCGGAAAAAAAACATCTGATTTATGGAACCTTAAAAAAAAACGACCTAGAATAAAAATTAATTTCTAAAACTTCAAATTCACTTATTTTATTTGTTTCTGTAAAAAAGCTATTTCGCAAATTTTGACAAAGGATAATTCATTAGCATTCGTTGCGGAGAGCAAAATGGATGTGGAATGAATAGAATTTTTAATTTAATCGTTTTCTTCAATATATACATAATTCGAAACTTTAAAAATTCGTTTCTTAGTAAACTTTTCTAGACGTAATTACAGTGACCGTCACTCAAACACAACACCGGCGACTAACATTTTGACGAAAATGCTTAGTAAACTATTTTTGATAAGGTATTTTTTTATCAATTTAGTACTTAAAAAATATTTAAAATAATTTATTATAATTTGAAAAAAATGAGTACTTCTTTCTAAATGTTAGTAGTTACTTTATGCATTAAAACTAATTTATATAAGTTGAACTTTGGTTCAAATTGATCTTCTAACAAACTTCTTTATTTAGTTTATGTTGATCAAATGCAATCATTTTAATTTTTGTTACATATCAAGATAACAAATTCTGCAGTTAAATGTCTTAAAACTATACAAAATATATCAGTAAAAAGTATTGAAACACATGCTTTTTTTTCCTTTTAAAAGCTTTTTTTTTTTTAAATATCAAACGAATTTATTAAAATGCGCATATAATTATTAATTTATCTATTTATAATTGTTAATTTGAAGCACATTTTAAAACTTCTGATGTTATTTAAATTAAAATATTAACGACGCAATAATGTGCTTTAAATAATCATATAAATTAGCATATTCCAAAGTACAGGATAAGGAATGGAGTCTTTTTAAATGTTAGGTATAACACTATTAGAACTTACAGTCTAAAAATATGGTAAAACGATCGGCAGCAATCTGTCCATCCAATAAACCGTAAAGTTTAAGGTAAAAAAAGATTTTTCACTTTTACGGTTTTAAACCGTTTACAACTGGTATGGTTAAAAAACCAAGAATACAAAACTATACAGGCTTTTAATCATTAACAACTAGCAAGGATTAAAAAATGTAAAAATAAGTAAAGGGAATAGATGAAACATTGTGGTGTCAACGCTGGAACACTTACTCATGAGATTGGCAGGTTAGCCCTCTCGGCTACAATATGTACCCATCTGCATGGAACTAGGTTGGGCTTAGTGGGTGCAATGCAATTCTGGTTATTTAACGGTATTAAGTAAAGCACTTAATAAAATATTTTTCTCACAGTTAGCAGTTTGAATACCATCTTATTTATGGTACCATCTCATTATGGATTGTTTTGTTTGAATAATTTAAAATAACAATTAAACAAATTGTTATTTAACAATTTTCTTCCAAGAAATTTATAACAGTGAACTTGAATTCTGTATTATATAAAGACTTTAAATCACTCGTGAGAGGTATCTATTTTGGAGATTTTGTTATTATAATCCTTTCCTTGTACAAATATAGCTCCTGATAATTTATTTAGAAAACAATCTTCTATCTAAGTTGTTAACCTGTTTTCAATTGTTATATCAAAAAAATGTCGTTGCATTATTTACTTTTTACCGTATTTTTTGGGCACTTTCTAAAAATAAACTAGCAATGAATTTTTTATGAGTTACTTGAACAAATTCAGAAACCCTATTCACAGAAATCTATGAGGATTCGTTTCTGAATGTGGTACAGAAGTTGGAATGAAATCGATTTAGGGTTGACCAGCTGAATTTCATACATTTTTATCTGAACAATTTTCGTTTTCTAGAGAAAAATTTGAATAACTTTTATTTCCTCTATACCTTTCTAAATAAACTGAAAAATAAACAGTACTTTTGTAATAACGTTTGATCCTTAAAAGAAACAGAAATTAAAAGAGAAAATAATATTAAAGTCAATGTTTGTACATTTTTTAAGCCTAAATAATAGAGCATTTTTATTTCAACTGTTTAAAACTAGATGCTTTTCTAACAGCAGGAAACAAAATTTCGTACGGTTTTTTTCACAAAAATTATAAAAACAATCGTAATTTCGAAGAACATATGTTTTAAATTCTTTTATTTTAGTTTTTTTTTTTTTAAAAAATTATTGATTATCACAAAACGGAACAACATTGTGAAATTAAAAGATATGGATTCAGGACCTAGACAAATTCCTGACAGAATTAACTGAGGATTTTCTAATATCACTCTGAGGCACTATGAGGTAATGACAATTCTGATTAAACAGACATAATTCTGGTAACAAAACCAAAATATATAATACCTCAGTGAGTCATTTTGTAATTTTTCCGTTCATCGATTTTCTGAAAATTTTGTTTTTTCAGAAATTCCTAAAATTCTGTTTTCTTTGTTACCACATATTCAGTAAAAGATACAATACTGAAAAATAAATTTAACAAAATACATGGGTTTTTCTGCCATGCTGTCAGGAATCATGAATTCTACAATGTTCTGGTAGTTTTGACGACATTTTTTTCTCTCAAAATATGAGACACTCTATTGCCTGGTTCGAGAATTTATTAGATTTCAGCAAGTCACATTTTAAAAAAAGCTAGATATTTTTTTCTTTTACTGTAAATTTCTTTACCATAAATGGACCCAGATTTCAATTATTAATAAATACTTTTCCTTTAAAAGATACTGTGACCTTTATAAAAATATTTCTTCATTTAAAATTATTTCAATTTTTTTTTTTGATTTATTTCCAATCAAATAAATATATAGCTTAAATTGGTATTTTAGTAGATTCAAAGTTACTGTGGCACCATGCATTGCATTATTTGCTTAGAACCAAAAACGTATGAAACCAGTTACTCGATTTTTTTGTAATATCTTTTATCAGTGATCAGCGTACTATGTACCACACGTACTATGTCTTCCTCATTGATAAGGTACTTTGATGTATTGTTTAATGCTCACAAAAGCCAGATGGGTCGAAGCTGTATGAAATATATCTGAAAACAACAACAAGTACAGTGTGAAAAATTAAAACCGATCCACCCTAAATAACTTTTGATCTAATGATCTTATCTTCTCGTTTGTGGAATTAATCTTAATGATTCGTGGGGGTGACCTCAAATATGCTAACTAATTAGTGCAGACAATATTTTAAATTAAGCAATCAGTCACAAAAACAACTATCTCTAAATTAACATACTTTTTTTGACGGATTTAGATTGCTGACCACCAAAATATGGGGGATAGCCGCAATCTGGGAAATCTGGCCCTAGTATTTTGGTCAGTAAAGTGGTCCAAAGTTTGGGACCCTTAATAATAATTTAACTTTTTGAATACTTCACCGTGTCTCGAGAAATTTCCAAGAGAATCGAAAACCTTTTTCGCACAATTACAAAATTCGTTTATCTAAAGATGATTCTATGCTAAATATAACTTTTAGTAAGCAGTTGTTTTTTTTTTTTTTTTTTTTTTTTTTTTTTTTTTTTTTTTTTTTTTTNTTTTTTTTTTTTTTGCTTAATAATAGTCAAAACAATTCTGAATGGTAAGCTTGAATTGCTACGACTGGAAAAAATATTTTCTGAAATTATGGAAAACCCGTTGTGGAATTTTTATCAATTACCTTGATAACATTAGTACATATTACCATCAGTAGTAAACATTAATTAAGCGTCATTTGTGAATGACGATTTTCTACGACTCTCCTAAACAAATTTCCTATTTACCTTCTTTTCATTAACTTTGCTCTTTAGTACAAAGAATATTTCATTTTATTTTAATGAATACATTTTATCAACATTAATTAAGCATCAGTCTCATTAATAATATGGAGATTTTTTTACGTTTCCACAAACCGAATAAATAGCTTTTCTCCCTTAATTTTGCTTTTTAGTACAAGGATTATTCTTTTTTATTTCAATAAATGTATAATACCAATATTAAATAAGTATCATTGTCGTTAATAATAGTATGACCATTTCTCACAGTTTTTCTTGCCGAATAAATACCTTTACTCCATTACTTTTGCTTTCTGGTACATAGTTCATTTCTTTTATTTTAACTTGCATAAATAAATAATGCAAATAAGAAACGCGAGCTATCAATTAACTTTTAAAGTATAAGTTTGGTAACGTAGACAACACGTGCTACCACGTAATGCTGTTCACTGAATATATCTGACATTGCGAACATAAAATAATTCAATATTTAAATACTTGCAATCAACTCTTTCGTTGAAAAAATATAGATAAGCTACCAAATATGACTGTTATCTTTAACAAATATGAGAAAAGTTGAATTGTCTATAGTTATAACTATGGCAAACTCTTAACCAATCAAAAAATTCCATTCCGTTTTTTGCTAATCCCACTGGAACGGTTTGTTGTAGAATGTTCCAACGTCAACAATGACCTTACTCGTGATTCGAAATATTTGTATGTCAAATTTTACGATTTCGGTTGGAAGGTTTAGGAGTCCTTAACGGACGCAGACAGACATTCATTTATGTATACATAGATTTATTTTATTTTATTTATCTTCTAATAATGCAGAAATCTTAATTTCTTAATTGATTTTCCCCGTTTTTTTTTAAATCTGTGAAATTAAATTACGTTTGTTTAGCAATATTGCTACATTGGTGCATATTATTTTTATTTGTACATTTAATGAAGAAGCATATTTCATTATAAATCTTTTTAATTTGCTTCATAATAATTATTGAAAGATACTTTTCCTTTGTTTATTTAATAATAACCGAAAAAGTAATATAGTTTGGCTTCATTTTCAGTCTTTTGATGCAGTATGTTTCTTTTTTTCAAAATTTTCCCACTGCATTTTGTCTTATTCTTCTCGATGTCTGAAGACACAAAAATTAAAGGAAACTATAGATTTGTATTGTTTACCTGTTCCTTTGGCCCAAGATTGATTTCCCTTGGCTTCATTCTGAAATAACTCGGTGTAAATGAACGCGTATTCTCCCCATGACGTCATATTCAATTGTTTGGCAATCAGCATCATTTCTCTCACATCTTTATCTCCTCCAAGAATTACAATAACTGAAAAATAGTAAATAAAAAATATATAGTGCCATTATAGATCCTGTAAAGGTATTTTAAATTGCTTTTAAAATTATCACGTGAATTTAAATTAAGTGCTTGATAAGAAATTTAACTAATTTCGAAATTAAGTAAGGCTGTAAAAGTTTTCTCGGTGTTTGTTTTCAAATTATTGGTAATTTGGTGTAGATAATTTTTATAAACTAACAAAAAAAGGTTACTAAATATTATTTTGAACACTGATAGAATTTTTATGAACTTTTAGACTAAAGTTTTAATGATTTTTTTAAAATTTTATTAATTTTAATTTAATTTGCTTCTATCGTGTAGAACAATTGCACAATTTTACCACAGACACTTGGAGTTTGATAATTTCTTTGCAATGAGTGACATTTTATAATAGAACCACCGAAAATAGCTCCGAGAAAAAAAATTCTAGAAGAAAAATTAAAGAAAAAGAGCATTGTAAAAGAACAACAGGAAAAAAGCACTACTTTAACAATTACATGAATTTAGTGACCGATTTGATTCAGGCTGTTAAACATGAATTTAATATAATTAAATATTTATTCGAATCTAAAAAAGATGTTTTTTAAAAAACTGATTAACATACTAAGTTTAATTTGAATCTTCTATATTACTTACAACTGTACTCTCTATATTACTTACAACTGTACTTTATGCAATTGTTCTTAATACAATTATATAATATACTTAATAGTATTATTATACATATTGTATCCATTAAAAATAGTTTCTCAAGAGATAAATTGTGTGATCAATCAAAAATAGTGGCAAAAATTCTTATAATGTTTCATTTTAATACAATTTTTAAAAACAAAATTCTCGGACGATATAATATTATCATGACACAGTTAGTGTAATTATTGGATTTCTGCCGTTATTGGTCAATTTTTCTCTACATTAAGGAGTAATGTTCACTTGTAAGTTTATTTTCAAGAAATTTGCTTCATATTTTGCTTACAATATTTCTTTATTTTTTGCACTAAATATGTTGAGTAAATGGATAAGAATTAAAAATATGGATGAAAATCTCATATATCTTTATTATTAGTATTTTTATTTCTATTTGAAAAAGTTCTGACCATTTATACTAGATTTACCCTAAAGTTTTGCTAATCTGCAAAAATTTAAAGAGAAATTTTGAGTGATAAATAATTGAAATATTCCAGCTGTCTACTTTAGAAAAAAGAGGCTACTGCCTTACTTGAATCGTTGAGCACTAACTAAAATAAACTTGAGAAGTTCTTATGTTTATAAATTATTTTTATATTTTCCCTCAATAATAAGGACATTTTCATTCATCATAAAACAATTAAATCATGACATTAAAATATTTCTTATACAAGTAGTAAAAATCAAAGTGCACTTTCTAAACATAGCTTTTACACGCATTTTTTATACGCATAAGTACACGCATTTTTTATAATACATATCAAATCATTATTTTAAAAACTTATTCTTCAAATTTCAAAAACCATAGTTAGGGGTTTTGTTAAGATTTGTATTTTTATAGTAAATTATATAAATGATGCGAAAATATAAAATCAATATTTTTCAATTTAAGCTACTGCTGAATATTATATGCTTATACTTTTTAATTTTAGATCTTCGCTCATAAGCATGTTGAATGGAAATGCTGTTTATATTTCACAACAAGAATATTTTTAAAGAAGTAAAACTTATATGATGTTGAATTAAAAATTATAAAATCATTCATTCTTCAATATAATATATTTAAATCGGATTTACAGATAAGATATTCTTATTTTGGCAATTATATTAGGGTAATTGAAGTTAATTTTTTATAGAACTGCCAAGTTACCCAGCTAATTCAAGAGCTTTCAACAAAGCTATAATTTTAAAAAAATTATAAACACAATTTTTAGAGTGGTATTTATAAGGTTATATTTTTTTAATTCACATTTTTGTAGAAATTTTGCACTAGAAAATAATTCTGTGATTTAAAATAAAATGTATTTAATATAATACGGATAATTTTTATTATGGTTTTAGAAAAAGTTACGTAAAACTTGCTTTAAAGAGTTCTTCAGTTCATACAAAGAAAACTATTTAAATTGACAAAAGTACTATAAATTGATGTTAAGTATAACTACTGAAACTAAACTTATAATGCTTTAGAGTCATCTTTGAAATTTGACTTAAATTTGACTTACTGTAGCCAAGATAATAATATTTCTTTTAACTTTCGCTACACCGTTAGAAATTTCTCGAAAAAAATGGTTAAATAACAATTTATTTCATTGTTATTTTTCCATATTCAAACAAAACAGTCAAATAAACATAAATTAGACGGTATTCCCCATATGGTTAGACAACCAGATTTTATCTCACCAAGTAGAACCACCTAATGAAACCACTTGATTCCTCGAAGATGGGTACATATTATAGTCTAGAAGGCTAATCAGTCAATCTTATGACAGACCGAACGGGGATTCGAGTCCCAACGTTGACACCACAATATAGTCTCAGTTTCCTTTGACATATGAAGAATTTTTAGAATCCTGCACTTTCCAATTTGTGACCTTGGACCACTAGAATACGATACTCTCATTCACGCATAGATAGCAGCACTATAAAGATACTAAACTGTCTCCAGTTTCCAGTTAAGTTTCTTTTTTATGGTTTTGAGACCGTGCTAGTTATCAATGAATATAAAACCATGTAATTTTGTATTCACGGTTTAACCATACTAGTCTAAAATGGTTTCAAAGCTATGAGGGTAATAAAGGTTCTTTTCCGTAAATTTTACGGCAAACTGCTACCGGTTATTTTACCGTAATTTTATGATATAATTCTAATAGTGAACATATTTTGGTGCATGCACAATAACAATTTTATACTTCTCATGACTCCAAAACAAAGTTTAAAAGAGTTCAATACATGGTTCACTACTTAAATTGTATGTTAAAATAGGTATGAAATATTAAGTATAGCTTACAAATTATTACATCGAATACGCTTACATGAATCAAACTTTTATGTAAAATTAGCTTTCAGCTGTTGAAATCTCCATTAAGTGAGAACGAAGAAAATATTTTAAATCAAAATCTATTTCACTATACAACAAATTCTTTATCATAAAATTAAATTTTGTAATAAGTTTTTTTTTCAGTTTTAACGATATTGTTTCGCTTTAAACTGAGACGGCATCTTTGTTTTTCTCTGTTAACGACTTCTTAAAAATTAAATTTTGTCATAAGTTTTTTTTTTCACTTTTAACGATATTGTTTCGCTTTAAACTGAGGCGGCATCTTTGTTTTTCTCTGTTAACGATTTCTTAAAGGAAGTTTTTGTGATCATTTTAAAAAAGCAAATTTCTTTTAAAAAACTTCTGTTTCCTACGTAAAAAATTTTTTCGGCTCTTGACAGAAACAGTAATAGATATTTTCTTATTTTTGTTGCTTGAAAATTACTTTACATATTTCTGAAAATGGTACGAAATCATTCCATTTGAAAATTGTATTTGTTAATTTCAAAAAAAGATTGAAGAATTATATAGAAGTTATACAAAGATATAAAAAGGGCATTAAATAGTTAAAAAGTAATTAAAAAACGAATATCACGATAACTTGGGTAAAAAAATACAGGCACTGATCAATGAAAAATTAATTGTATCTATGCAATAAATTTCATGAAANTAACGATCTCTTAAAGGAAGTTTTTATGATCATTTTAAAAAAGCAAATTTCTCTTAAAAACTTCTATTTTCTACGCAAAAAAAATTTTTCGGCTCTTGACAGAAACAGTAGTAGATATTTTCTTATTTTTGTTGCTTGAAAATTACTTTACATGTTTCTGAAAATGGTACGAAATCATTCCATTTGAAAATTGTATTTGTTAATTTCAAAAAAAGATTGAAGAATTATATAGAAGTTATAGGTACAAAGATATAAGAAGGGTATTAAAAAGTTCAAAGAAATTAAAAAACGAATATCACGATAACTTGGGTAAAAAAATACAGACACTGATCAATGAAAAATTAATTGTATCTATGCAATAAATTTCATGAAAAAATAATTTTGATAAAATAAAAAAACACAATTTTAAGAAAAACAAAGTAACACTTTTTAAATTTTGAAGATTGTTTTAATTAAAATACAATATGCAAACGATTTTAAAAATGTAATATTTTACGGATATAAATTATTTTTAGGAGTGAAAAAAGACTTTAATTAAATCAATCAAAGATTAAAATAAGAAATTTTTGGTTTATAAAAAAAAGTTAAGGAATTCCTTAACATTTCTTAAGTAAGTTTTTATTATGTGTTAAAGAATTTGTAAGTTTTTTTTTTAACTTATTAGCTATCCATGAGAAGATTGCGTAATTTTTAAAAACTGTTTAATAAATTTCTTATGCTAATGCTTTGAATCGAACATATTTTATTCAATGTTAAAATTATAAATATAAAATAATTATATTAAAATTGAAAGTAAAATTATTAATATAAAATATTAATATTAAAAATAAAATATTAAAATTATAAGTATAATTTTTAGATTATATCATAAATAATATAGTGTATTAATTTTTAGATTATATATGTTGTCTTCCCAAGAATCTTTTTATGTCGAATTTTTCTGGAAATAGAAAATTAATTTTTTCGGAACGATGTAATTTTCTTACTAATCAATTCTTTTCTATTTAATGCATAATTAATTTAGTCTTACTTTCAAAAATAAAACTATCATTGTTTTATTTAGACTTACAGTCAATTATCACTACATACATATTTATTACTGGCTATTCTCACGTTTCATGACTCTGATTTTTCTAGTAATATCTCAGAATATCTTTTTTTACTTTTTAGAACATATTTAGTTCCGATTTTCTTATCTACAAAACTCGCTATCTCAAATTGTTTTTAGCCATCATTGCTTGCTAACTTAATTGTAAAAGATTTTAAAAAATAATAATTATTATTCTGATATGTAACTAAATTTATTACAAATATTAAAAAGGACAAAAAAATTTGGAAACTATTAGGATTATTTTAAATAAAATGCAAATTAAGTATTGCATGCAAAATTTTCCATGCTAATATTACTTAGAATATAAAATGCAGAAAAATACCTCGGGAGCAGTCCTTCATAATTTTCATGATTGCTTCTAAATCAGATAAAACAGTTTTGTTGGCAGCACGGACATACGACTGTTGACAGGTGACAATAAAACCATTTGTGCTGGCCATATAATATAACAATTCTGACATAGTCGTGTAATATACATCATTCTGGCGATAAATCATTCCAAACTGCTTCCAGTTAAAATGGTCCAAAAACGCCAGAATAGCACGCGCTTTGTCTTCCAGATCGTAACTCATTCTTATCAACGTCCTAAATTCATTCCGTTCCTTTAGAACATCACCAAGACCAGTCAAAATCGGAATATTTTTATAGGAGGCATATCTTCCAACTACTTGTAAGTCATCGCTACATGCTGGTCCAATATAAACTGACACATTTTCAGCCATCACCAAGTCCGTAGCTTTGCCGATGGCTAATTCTGCAGAACATTCTTTTGGATAGTAACCAGAAAGAAGATTCAAAACAACATTATAATCCCTCAAGCACTTTTCAGCAGCAATGTCAATGGCAGGGCCAATTCTTTGAATGTCGAATCTGTTCCAGGCAGACCCGTCCACCATGAGGACACCCACTTTAAAAGCATCCTCATCAACCGAACTGACCACAAATGAAACAATGCACCAGTGAATTATTAATAGCAAAAACATATCTAATCATCAGCGTCACTTGTTCCAGCGTATTTGCATACTCGCGATAGATATGTTGTCTTCCGCCAATTCGGCAGGAATGTCACCAGAAGTTGCTATTTTGGTACAGAGCGACATTGCTAAAAGAATATTTGGGGAGGAATATACTTCCCAGCGCGTCTGTTCCTGAGACCGAAAGAAGTTAAAATAACAGAGCCCTGGCGTCAAAACTCTCCCGCGTTCGCCTGTTGCAGAGAACCGCTAGATGTCTCCGTTTTGCGTTTTTGTTTCGGATGCTCGATTTGTTAATCGTTACTTAATATTAATACCGAGGTTGTTTTGTTAAAAAATATTTTGATTAATAAGAGTAAATAAAATAAGACAGCATTTTATTTGTTGGTTAATAAATTCCGCAAAATTCGGAGACAAAATTAAAAAAGGAAAAAAAAAAGAAACTTTCATAGTTAATGTTTGTGCTTAATTTTGTAAAATGTACAAATATTTTAAACCCATCTTATATAATATGAAGAGGACGACGCGAAATAATTTAAAGAAAGACATAAAATAATCTGAAAGAAGGTATAAAATTATTTTAAAAAAGTTATTATTTTTAGTATGTATTTTAAAAGTATTTATATTAGTGCCTAAATGACACAAATATATATTTTATTTCGGAATGATTTATTATATTTTGCTGTGCATAATTTGTCGAAATGAAAACAATATGTAAAAACTTTACTATCTTAAAAATATTTAATATTTCATTAAAAATGAAATTAAATATTCTTTTAAATTTTAGATTGATAAACTCATTACCTAAATAACAGAATTATAGAGAATATTTTTTACCAACTAAAATTAATCAACCACGACCTTTAAAAACAACGCTTTATAGACATTTGCAATGTATTACGACACAGTAGAAATTACCACATAAAAGTTGAAAAGTGAAATTTAACTTCATTAAATAATTTACGTCAAACAATTTTACATCCACACTTCTTATCACTAGTTACCTTTGATACCTTTACCTTTACTAGTTACCTTCGATACCCTGACACTTCCTTTGACTGTTACAAATTATCTTTGAAGATTCGAATCCTAATGTTTGATCCTCATTTTGTCTGATTTGTTTTAGTTCATAGCATAAGACTTTGTCCCTAAACTTTCATTATCAACTATGAACGTTTTGTACCTATTACCATTACTGATTTTAACCATTTACCATTCTCTAAGCTCATATCAGATGAAAATTTCCCAGCAAATATCTAAAAATTCCCTGTAGAACTTCTCCTAAATGAATTAGAAGCTACAAATATGTTTAAGCTTCAATATTGAGCCATGGTGGCTCAGAGGATGGAGTGCTCACCTCCGTATGAGGTAATACTGGTTCGAATCCAGCAATGGGTGGTCAATACGAATTCCGCGCCGGCTTACACCGACAGGTATTTAAACCATTCAATTATATATTTTTTCCGTTTATAGGGGACGGCTTAAAGGAATTTCTGGTTTTCGAAATTATCGTTTTTAATAACATACATTCAGAAAAATATACAAAACTAAAAAATAAATTTAACAAAATAAAGGTTTTTTATGCTATGCTCTAAGGAATCATGATAAAACTGCAAATTTTATAACAGATTACTACAGTTCATTTTATTGTCAATTTTACAAAAATCATTACCAAAGCACTTCAGTAAAAATTACAACGCTTTTTGATGTTTCTATAGAGTCAAAAACACGGTAATTTTTAATGTATTCTAGTAGTTTTGACCATACTATTTTTCGCTTATCAAATTCACTAAGTTAAAAAAATGGTTGAAATATAGAGAATATTTTTATTTTTATGTTGATAGAAATGCAAATATTTAAAAAAAGTTTTTTAAAAAAGTTTTTAAAAATAAAATTATAAAATTGTGATTATGAACAGTTAAAAATTTCATCCAATTCCAAAACAAAGGGAATTCTCTGGACATTGGGACCAAATCAATATATTTAACTTTTTATCTAGTCTTAACTAGTTCCATTATCATTATTCAGCCTCGTCTTTACAGAAATTTTACTTACAAAATAATTTTGTAGAAATCATCCGAAATACAAAGTTTAATTAGTTAATAATCTTCACTTTTATTATTACTCAAAAGTCTTTATATTTTTTAGTGAGTCCATCTTTTTATAAATGATAGTTTTCCACAATTATTATAAATTTATATAATCATGGTAACAAATTATTTTTATAATTATATTTTTATTTTTGTCATAATTGAAATATTTAAAATTTCATTTTACTATTAAAAAGCAATATTTTAAGGAATTATTTAAAAAAAAAAAACTTTTCTTTGCTTTTAAAAGTCAGTAAACAGGGAAGAGGTTAAAAATAGTCATATCGGAAAATTTGTTTCAGATATTTTAAGCGAAACGTTTAACGAAGCTTGAATCGATTTTTACCCTTATTTCTATGTTCATATTAGGAGTTAAAAACAATTATTTTAATTCATACGATGACTTATTACTGTAAAAAACAGCAAATCAGATAAAATATTATCCCTTTTCCTTCAGCATTATCAATCCAGTGAAAAAGAATTTTATTATAATGCATTCTGAAAAAGTAAGCGTATATTAATTCCATAGATATTCATTTAGTTAAAATATATTGATTAAAAAAATTTTATAGCTAACTATTCATGATTCTGCCTATTAAATATGAGGAAAAATAACTAGTTACCAAACTTTCATTTGTATTATTGTTACTTTATTATCATTGATAATTTCTTAAGTTTCCTTACATAAGCTGTTGTGCTGTGTTATGCACTAAATTAAAACGGCACAGCAGGTAGCACAACACATTTTTCAACACAAATTATGATACAATAAAAACGTATTGTAACCTACGTATATTTTGTATCGATATCAAAAAACGCATTGCACAGTTTTATTAAAGTAAAATACAGTATCTCGTTTTGAAAAAAACAACAGCGTCATCAATGCTAATCAGTGTTTGGTAAAGTTCTATATTTTAACACGGAGAAAGTAAAATCCCTTTTCTGCCTAAAAGAATATTTAGTTTCCCTTGTTAATAATCTAATATAATTGATAAATGATTAGTTTATTAAATTTGAAAGCTTTATTACAAATTTCAAGAAAGAGTTTAAAGAGAATGTTAGTAAAATATATTTTCCGTTGTCCAATAAATCACATGAAGCGATAACTTTAAAACGAAATATTTACCAAAAAGAAAATTATTTGACAGCTTCTTCCTTCATTTTTCTTCTGAAATATTTCTTATAAAAACGATTCTGGGAAAACTATAAAACTTCGCCTTAGATAGAGCTTAAAATAATAATGAGACTTTTGCTAAATAAAAATTAAATAATTTTTATTATATAATTATAAATTTTAACAAACATGAATTTAGAAACGTTAATATTTAATATGAAACTATGTTTATCAAGTTTAGTATAATTCAAAGTCCAAAATGTTTCCCTTACTTTAAGATTTATAATATTAAATATATTTCGTAAATTTTATTTTATTTTCCGAATTTGAATTTGACTTAGACACCAAAAACAATTAAGTAATGATAGTTTGTTCAAGCTGATTCAGCTGGCAAAAGATGTTTTTGTAGGAATACTTTTTAATATGTTTAAATTTACAAAATGAAGTAAAAATAACCTCTGAATTTTTATCAGACAGATAAAAATATTAACAATAGATCATGAAACCTTCTATAGTTAGGCAGACAAAAAGGGGATTCTAACCCATGATCCGTTTACCAATGAGGATAGTTTACGTCAGAACTTTGGTTGAGGTGAGCTGGGTGCAAAATTAGTATCAACCAGTCACTGCTAAAATTCAAACCTGGACCTCAAATATTAGGACCTCATAACGTCCTTTACCTGGGCCACCAAAGTTCATAAAATAACATGTTTGTAACATTTGGATTTTACCATAGCACACTGAGAAAAAAAATACGGGCGAAACTATTGGGATATGGCAAAATTTATCATGTTTCTAGCTCTTTTGAAAAGCAAAGGAACTTGGTAGTTATTTCTGAGTTCCTTTGGAATATGGCTTTATAATAAGCGATAAATATTGGTAAATTTGAATTACGGATAAACCATTACCATATGAGTAAAAAAATTACCAGATAAATGGTTGAAATACCGTATATTTCAGTTTTATTGCTAGAATTATTCTTTTTTTTTTTGAAGAAGAAGAGGAAGAGGAAGTGTCATTACCATACAATGCGATAATTATATACCAGAATTTTATTTTTCCGTACATAATTGCTTTACTTTTCATGTTACAAACCAAAATATTAAGTAAAGTACCCTAAAAAAAGGCGGCACAGCTACAAATTTTAAATACAAAGATACAAGTCAAACCATTTTTATAGGGAAAACACTTTCAAAAGCTATCAAACATTTTTACGACTTAAATATTTTTTTTAAATTATTAAAGTTTTAAAATATTTTTAAACTTTTTGAAGTGTTTATGACTAATTGGGCAGCATTTTAGACTGACTGCGTAACATTAATCTTAACTTTAGTTAATCATAAGACTTGGATTAATTAAAGTAATCGCGTTATTTAGATTGTTCTTGGTTACAAACTTACAAAATGTGTAAACATTAATTTGTATCAGTATCTAGGTCACATGAATTAATAACAAACTCAAAGAATAATGAAACACTCATGGAAAAAGAAAGAGATCTACTTTGGAATTCATTACGATATAAATTCATCATCCTAATTCTTTAGCTATAAATAAAAGAAGAAAATTTGTTTTCGCACAATTAGTTTGATTATCTTTAATGTTTGAGACAATATGACTTTTTTCCTGACGCTAGATCGTTTTGTCCTCTATTAGAGTCTTTATTAATAAATAATAATTTTGTGATAACTTACTCTATAAGGTTAAGTTAAATTTAAAAAAACTACACTGTAAAAAATTTCAGATCAAATTTCGGTGTAAAGTATGGCACTTTAGGTGCATCCTTCGTAACATTTATTTTTACTGTAAAATATTAAACCATAATTTTTACAGTAATATTCATTTAATTAGAGTAATTTACGTTGTCAGTGGTTTTCGGTAACTATGAAGCACCTGATGGTAACAAAAACACCTGATATATTGTGAAGATTACGGTATATTAGATGTTTTTGTTTTGTAATATGTTGCGGTAAAAATGGATTTTACGTAAAAAGTACC